AAAGTTACCTTTATAGGAACTAGATTTTGAAAAAAGGAGAATAGTAACAATTTTTGGTAAGAATGTTTTCATGGTACTGAAATGATTTTTTCAATAAATGAATGCAAGAAAATAAGAAAACATAGAGAGTAATAGATTATTTCAGGTTATATCAGAATATATAATTGGTTTTTTTTTTGAAAAGACGATTCTATAGTGATGAAAAATTTGAAAAACTAATTTTCTCGATAGTGACTAGATCAAGTCTGGATATGAGGGTGTTTTCATTGTACTCAGTTTTGTTTGGTAATGAATAGGTCTAAACTAATACCTAATTATAGAGGATCAGAGAAAAGTTCACAGGCTTTCAGAATATCAAATTACTTTTGAAATAACGTACTTTTATAGTGAAAATATATTGAAAATAGCGAGTCTAACTATTTTTTCCCGTGGGAGGATTTATTTATCGTAAATGATTGAGATTTTTCTAACTCTTTCAACGTTCTATAACATGTCAAATATGATTTAATAAGAAAAATCTTATCTTTAGAGAAAGAAAATGAGATTTTTAATAATTGACTTGAATATTTTTAACATTTTATATTTAATCATTAGATTTTATATCTACGATAGTGATTTATATCGGACAAATAATTCGATGCTTTTTTTTTCTCAGTCTGATTTTTGAATCATTATTGATAATTATGAAAAAAGATAAATTTTATTTAATTAATTATAAAAAAGTCTTCGTAGAGTAAAGGAAGTCTTAGTTAATCCTTTTGGTCGATATTATTATGGAAATGTCAGTCAATCGCATCTTATCTGAGAAAGAAGAGAATGCCTTGATATTTTCATCGATGATAGATCTCCAAATGTTCCATTATCTGATGCAATCAGGATATCTGTTCCATAGAAAAAAAAAACAATTAGTTTCTTAGAAAAACTCATCTTTTTCCTATTACTGATCAAATGTATTTCGAACATGTCAAATTTTTTGTTTCTATAGATAATTATAGTTTATCATCTATTTGAAATATTCTGTTTTTTTTTTTGTTGTAGATTCTATCAAAGTATATAAATAGAAAAGTAGACTGTCGACATAATTAGTACTAAGAAAAAAGACGAACTGTTAATTGTGGAACAACTGGCATAGAAATAAAAAGCAGAAGTTTTTTTTTAGATTTCGAGTTATCACATAAAACGCACTCGATCGACATTTTCATTAGAATATTTAAAACAAACGGCTTAATTTGGATTCACTTTCACATATTTAAATTTTTTATATTTAATCAAAGAAAATTTATCAAATTTTGTAAGTTGTTATAGAAATTAATTACGAAGAATTGTTACAAAAAAATAAGTGCATTATCTCAATATTTCGAGGCACAAACGTTTTTTTTCGAAGAAATATTTTAAATTTCATAAATATTTTTAATAAAAGTATAATCAGATCAAACTGAAAATTTCCAAGATTTCCGAAACTCACCATGATCATCTAGAATATATTTTATAAAAAAGATGAAATTGTTAGATATAACTCGGTTGTCGATGCATTAGAATGAATGATTTTCTGAGACAGTTATTCTTAATATTTCAAATTGGTTTGACATATATAAGGTATAATTGAAAAATGTTCTATGTATTAAACATACAATAGAATTTATTTTTCTTTTGGATATGAAGAAAAAAAAAGCTAATAAAATGTTAACTTTTTCGAATAATGTTCTAGTGATAAAAATATTCTTGTAGATAATATATTGACTAAAATTGTATATTATAGTTTAATATTGTTTATGATTAAGAATGATAAAAAAACAAAATGTTAAATATAAAAAGACTTAATAAAATCTGTCTATAAAGTATTTAATCTAAGATAAGAAGTGAAAGAATGATATCTCTGTTAAGTGTGTCGTTATTTTTGGCACGTCTTATATATCTATACTTTTAAAAATAAATAATTTTCCTTATCAGAGTTTTAAATCCATTCTTTCCGAAGATAAAATAAAATGTCTAGATTTATTTTGTTCGATGAAAAAAGTTTAATTTAAATAAAATTACCTTGTTTAGTTGGTAATGGTGCATTATATTCAGCTGATCGACGTTCTAATAAACGAATAGATAAAAGTAATTTTCTATTAAGTATAATAATAATTGTTAATGGAATAAGATAAACAGCAAGAGCATTAATTGAAGCATAAGTCCATCGAAAAATGTAATTTTTTCCTAATGAACTAAATTTATAACGATAAAATTTAATATTATGATCTTCTAAAAATAAATCAGATAAAACTGTTTCTTCATGTACTTCATATTCAAACATAAGTGGAATAACATAAAAAAGTCCAACAATATATATTATTAATGTAACACGTCTAGCAGTTTTCATTGTACAATAACGTGGTCCATCAAATGGTCGACATATCACTAAACAATAACAAATGACAAAACATTTATTAGAATTAAACATACTTATCCATCGATCAATTGTAAAAGATACACAAAGCCATACACTAAGAGCACGAGCTGTTGTACTAATTGCACCTTATATATTTTTAAAAAAAACAACGAGAATAAATAAGATAAATATTTAATATAATAAATAAAACCTGTTATAATAAGTATTTGTGTATAAGTATGAGTTCGTGGTAATTCATGATCAAGTATATTTATTGGATATGCATGTAATATATAATCTGGTATAAGAAAAAGACAAGTTGTAAAATCACTTAAACATAAACCAGCTAAATAAACATAAGTTGAAAGACGCATTGTTCGACGAATTAATATTGAAAAACTAACTGCATTACTTATTATACCAAGAAAACAAATAAATAAACCACAAATACCATTTACATAATGATCAAATCGATCACGTGTAAATGATTTACGAATTGATTCATATAAAGCAGCATCATCAATAACAAAATCTTCACCTGTTACATTTGATGAATCCATTATTTTATTCGAACTTTTTTGTTTTTCTTTATATTAATAATTACATTATCTAGAAGATTTTATAGAAAAATATTATCGATAAAACAAGAAAAGAACTCTCATAAATAATAATATGAATTTATTTTTGATAATACTTATAGATTTTAATAGGAGAAAGATTTTCATAATTTCGAAAGGAAAACAGTCAATCGAGATCAACTAAATACCTACCATAATTCACTCACTTTATTTATCACTAGAAATTATCAATCATAAAACATTTTTCTAATCATATTATTTAGGTTAAAAGATATTTTTATATTCACAATCTTCCCTTTTCTTATTTTCAAATATTACTAAAAAAAAAAAAAAAAAGAAAAGTATATGACAAACCTGACTTAAATAATGAACTGACAAATAATCAATTAGTCTTATAGAAGTCAATAGAGAATATTGAGAATAAATCTCTAGACAAAAATCTACTCCCTCATTACTATTGACGAAACTATTTTATTTAATTATATTTGGATGATATCTATCGTCGAATCAACGAAAAAATTCAAAAAACTAACACTAATAATAATTTAGTCTATTTTTATATATCTTCTCTATCAGTATCAATGTTATTATCATTATTATTACTATTATTATTGCCTTTTTTTTTTTT